GCCATGCAACACTGCGCTCAGCAGGCAGGCCAGGGCTCACGCGGGCGCAAGAGGTGAGAGGTCACTGCGGTGGCAGCGGGCGCACAGCAGCCATAGCCCTGTCTCTTATACACATCTAGATGTGTATAAGAGACAGGTGTTGGTGGGGTTATTGGGGGTTGTGGGGGTATTGGGGGGGGTAATGAGGGTGTTGGGGGGTTGTTGGGGGGGTGTATGGGGTATTGGGGGCACGTATGGGGGTGTTGGTGGGGTTATTGGGGGTTGTGGACCCTTTTTTTTTTCTTTTTCTTTTTTAGGGGGTGATGGCAATCCCCGACTGATAGGTGCCGACCACTCAAATGGGCGCCTACCGTTGGGGTATGCACCATTGTCCCAAACCTTTTTTTTCAAAGACTGAAAAAAGAAACTAATGATAGATTGTTTCGTTGGAGTTGCAACATGCATCCCTTCATTTTGTGAGTGTTCTACACTTTGTGAAAACTGGTCTCAAAAGTCTTCTACATGTTTTCTGTCTGCTGCTCATGCAGACGAACGGCCTGTATCCAATGCGAAATTGCAAGCTTTAATGCTTTCCCAATAACTTCTATACCAGGAATGAAAATGACCCATTTTATTGTGCCTTATGGCCCTTATCCTATTTTTTGCTGTCGCCTGCAGACTCAGCAATTCCGCCCGTCACAAGAACCTTATACAGGCACATTTTCAGCGCTTGTTCGCGTGGCAAGGGAGGAAGGTTTGGTAGGGTTGTACAGGTGGGTATAATTTTTATTACACGTAACCTGGACTGGGTCCTTGGCTGTGTCTGGTTGTGAAGACTGACATGAAACCACTTCTTTCGTTTCTTTATTTTTCTTTCTTTTTCTTTCTTTTTGGACTACAGAGGTTACATACCTATAGAATACTCTTGGTGTGTGTGCCATCGGGAAGAGGGCAAACTGTGTCAATAGCAGGAATTGTTGTGGCGGTGAAAAAAGGAAAGGGAAAAGGGAAGGTAAGAGAAGAGAAGGGAAGGGACGCAGGAAGACGCGGGTTCAAATCCATAAGGGAAGGGAGGCGAAGGGAAGAGAAGGGAAGAGAAGGGAAGAGAAGGGAAGAGAAGGGAAGAGAAGGAAATGTGAGCCCATATGCACGTGTACATCAATTCATTCATGTAGGGAAGGAACTTCAAGGAAGTCCAATTAGTGGTGGACCAAGGCATTGCACCGGTCCTCTGGAGTAAATGGGCAAGCAATACCATCACCACTCTTCCCAATCTTGCGTTCAACCCCCTTTCCCTCTGTCAGATGGTTGAGGAACAGATCAAGCACTGAAGAGTCAGTATACAACTAAACCTTTGCGAGATTTTATTACAAAACGAGTTTGCAAATGGAATTCAGCACTCTCTCAGCCCAAACACCTACGCGGTGATGCATTGTTGAATGAACTCGCACAGTAGCCATCATCGGTTTGCCATCCCACACTGCTATGGGAATCAATGGGATCCACGGTTAATACAGAAGAACTGAAAGCCAGGGTATCGATTCCAGCACCCATCGAATGTGGGAGTCGCCATATTGTCGAATGTATATCCAATCAATTCATGGCGTTCGACCTGCTCCTGGGAATAAGCACAGAGAGAGCATTTCAAGAAAACAATGATCGTTGAGGTGACAGGTTGGTCAATCTTGTTCTCCTTTTCATATGCTTGTTACGAGATTAAGAAATCTTTTGTAATAGTGTATCGTTAAGCCAGCAGGCAGGTACCTTTTATGATCGCTCTGGCGTTGTGGCGGAAAACCTTTTATTGATCTTCTTTGTAAGTAGTTCAATAGGTCCTCATTCATGATAAGCTATGAAGCACTGAGTCAATCTTCCACCTTCCCGTGTTTATCCATATCTTTCTGTCTGTCTGTTTGTTACTCTGTCTGTCTGTCGGTCGGTCGGTCGGTCGGTCCGTCGGTCGGTCGGTCCGTCGGTCGGTCCGTCGGTCGGTCGGTCGGTCGGTCGGTCGGTCGGTCGGTCGGTCAGTCGTCCGGCCGGCCGGCTGGTCCATTGGTCCGTTCGTCCGTCGGTCTGTTGGCTGGCCGGCCGACCGGTCCGTCGGTCCGTCTGTCCGTCCGTCCTGTCCATTTAGATTCGTGCTCATGACGTGTTTATTAACAGTTACATGTGTGTGCCATTCAGCCTCATGGGCTGGGTGTCTTTTTTCTGTTTCTAGGAGTTCACAATGTTGGTTGGCTTTCTGAAGAAGTGCTTGTAGGTAGGCAGGTTTCTGATGAATGCTCTGGGTGTAGGTAGGTTAGCTTTTAGAAGCAATCTTTGCCTGTCGGAAGGTCTGAACAGGAAGATTCTTCAGAAGACAGCCCAAAGGGTGTTGTTATGATCCTTTTTGTTCATGAATCAGGGGGTAAGTACCTCTGGGTCAGTTCATTGGGACATGAAGAAGTGAAAAATTGAGAGTTAGATGTGAGTCACTTTTGGTGCAGACCCGACAAGAGAAAGTGCAAGTTAAGGTATTGTGCTTGGCTCTACGCTATATGCTGCCCGCTGGCACCGACCAGTAACTGGCCAATTCCTGAAGGCAGCCAACTGGTCGGTGGTTTGCCAGTTTGATGGCATTTAGCTTGAGAAGGGCATTACAAAAGGGGCAATGAGGTTCATCTTTTAGCTTGGGGAGGGCCGTGCAGAAGGCATGCTAAGGCTGTGTTGTGAAGGTAAAAGTCCAGCAGACCCTCTTCTGAAAGCGTGATGGGACGTTGATGCGTTGCAGTATTCATGGGTGTTGAAAGGGAGGGAGAGGTGGTGTGCCTGCACTAATTCACTAGTTCAAATGAAATTGTAAAAGTCTTTGCAGCTCTCGTGTATCGAACCCTATCTGGTTCATGCTGAGCCTGCACACAGGCTGTTGCATACTCGGGAAACACAGTCATAAGTTTAGCGCAGATTCCCAGAACCGACCAGATAATACAGAGTACGTACAATGGAAGACTTGATACACATGGACTGACTCAAACCTGACTCAGACTGCAATCAATCTCTCACAAACATGCATCGGTGGTGTGAAAGCCTTGGCCTTGGACATGGAAGAAAGGCCAGGGCCTACTCTCATACACAGATGAATGGAGGGGAGGAGAGACGAAGGGAGGAGTAGAGGGAAGATGACGTCAGCTCGATGTGTCCAAAAATAGTATCTCGAAATGTCAGAAGTAGCGAAAATCCGAAATGTCGTGAATACATAGCCTCACAGTGTCTCAGATATCGATCTCACAATGTCAAGATACATCTCCAGAGGTAGGTGAAATCAGATCCCAAAAGTAGTCCTCGGCCTGCAGTCTCAATGTTGCTATCTCCAATATCATCAGAACTCGTAACCATCCTTCATACTCGTAGTAGTCCAGTAGGAGTGACCCCAGGGTAGACTTAGACTTAGAGGGTAGGAGGGGGGGGCGGAGAGAGAGAGAGAGAGAGAGAGAGAGAGAGAGAGAGAGAGAGAGAGAGAGAGAGAGAGAGAGAGAGAGAGAGAGAGAGAGAGAGAGAGAGAGAGAGAGAGAGAGCAGAGGAGGAAGAAGAGGGAGAAAAAGTGAGGCCTTTTCTCCCTGGTGCCTGACGAGCAGCTATGGCGCTGCAGGGCTGGCGCTGGGCCGCGGGCTGGGCCGGAGGCTGGCGCTACTCCGCTGCTGCGCTAATTCGCTGCTGCACTATTCCTTCTTGCTGCTGCGCTGATTCTCCGCTGCTCTTGCTCATCTTAACGCTGAAACGTGGCGCTAATCCTGTAGCCTAACCTCCTGTCGACTAACCTACCGACTGAGGCTGGTACCCAGCTGATATAGTGCTGGGTCGGCCTCAGTACTACTGGTGCCTTCGGGTCTGGACCGTTGATCAGGCCCAACGGTTCAGATCCGATTTCAAAATCTGAAAAGTGGCGCCTAAACTGCGCTGCCGGCCGGTCCTACCAATTGACCGGTACCTGGCCTAACCAACCCGTTGGGTCTGGTGGGGTCTAAATGAGGCCTACCGGACCCTAAACTGAATCGACGGTTCCTAGGCCTACCTGGACCTAGCTGGGACCATCGTGACACGGGACCTAGGCCTAACCCGTGCCTACTACAGAACCGGACCCTAACTGGGGCCCGTGTGGTATCAGTATGCGACACAGGCCCTGTTTCGGGGGCCCGACGGTTGCTGGGGCCCCCAGGCCGCACGCCATTCCGGCATGCGCCATGGAGGCCCACGGCCAGCCTTTGGGTCGCAGGGTTTGATTTGGGGCAGCATTTATTTATTTATTTGCTTTTCTATTTCTGTCTGTTCCAGACACTGTTTCGGACTTGCAGTGCGTCCGAACAGACACACGGTCTGTTCGGACCAAGGCCACAGTTTGGGCCTTGTCCATTCGTGGCCAGGCCCTTTTCGGGCCAGGTCCATTTTTGTCGGGTAGTGGACACTACCTGCTGCATCAGCAGGGAGGGCCAGGACGCCCGGTAGGGACCTGGGCAGGCCGTTTTTAAGCCAGGCCCAGGAGCAGAACGTTTTCCTGCGATCTGGACCATGGATCGGACCGATGATCTCGGGGCCCATATCACAGGTCGTGGGCACAGTACCCAGGCGTAGCACTACTTATAGCTGGTCCAGCTCCCGGGCAGGGACAGTTCGGGTAGCTCACTTCTTGGGCGACACGCTGCTGGAGCAGTGCAACACAGTGCTGCGTTAGAGTTTGAGGCGTAGGTAGAGAGAGAGGTGGTGGCCATACCTGCATTGGTGGAGTACCTACCTGGGCCCGATAGCTGGACTTCTCGCCAGCGACCTGCAGCACAGAGAGAGACACACCGGCGGGTTAGTACATGGCGGCAGTTGCCTGCAAGTGAGACAGAGAGGAGGACGGCGTCTTACAGGCAGAGGTTACATCGGGCCATGAGGCCCAGGATCTGATTCAACATTTTGTGGCAGACATTGATTGGACATTCGGCAGGGAGACTATTTTTGGACTTCACTATCGCGAGCATGGGCTTCTCTTTCATCTCCATCTTCGTCTCATCTCCTGCCCCATCTCCTCATCCATGGTAGCTCCCCATGTGCGTGCTCAAGGAGGGACCTTTCGTCTGTGTATGTGGTCCCTCCCCTCTCTCTCACATGTGTGGTGTGTGATGGGGTGTCACGTCAGTATCTGACAGGTCAGCTCATATCTTGGAATCTTCGGCTGCGCTACCTTGTGCTACTTTTGTATGTACCTGGATGTACATTGCTTGTTGATGCTTTGCTGACGCTGCATTGTCCATTCGAGTCCTTTTCATCACTTTGCAGATCCTTGGCTCTATATACATCTCTTGATAGATCATGTATCACTCTTCGTTCCCATCAGATCTATGTTGGTGTTTTCAAAGAACCCCAAACTCTTTCATGATCACAAGCCATCCATACAACAAAAAAACATGTAGATACTAGATAGGCAATATAGTAGAAGATGCAAGTGCGAGGAATTGATCCCTCGGCAGTGCTGAGAAAGGCCTTGCCCGCCCTAAGTGGAGGCGGGCCTGCCAATATGTGCCAAGGCCTGGCTGGGTACAGGCCAGTGTGATCACCCTAAAGGGCCTGTATATGTGCAGGGGAACGAGCCCTCGCAGGGCCCTTAAGAGGCATGCACATGTTCTGGGCAGAGGCCTCAGCAAGCCCTGTGCCCGCCGTAAGTGAAGGCGGGCCTGAATATTCACAAGAGGCCAAGATTTGACGTTTTTCCGTATGTGGGTAGCAGACAGTTGCGGCACGCCAGTTGGTTACA